TAATGATGTTGCTGCCACTCTCTGCACTGAGAAATAAATTCATTAATAGAGGACTACTGGAATTACTATCATTTGAGAATATGCCTGGGCCTGAATTTTGAATTTAGGTTTGCTCTAAATGACCTCTCTGGATGCGCAGTGTGCCACACTGAGGCACAGGTGGCCTTCAGGCAGCTCCTGGAATGCAGCAGCAGCTGCAATGTGGGGGCATTAGTTTGAGCTCACGGTGTCGCTTGGTCTTTACGAACAACTGAAGTTAAAAGCTGCAAGTATAGGGTTGGTGGGCATCCAGTCTGTAGGATCCCTTCTGAGGCAATATGATGTGGAGATAAGTGTTGAAATAGTCTATATTTTAGCTGCTTCTAGGCCCATATTCCTACACAAAGTTTATTTAAACAAGGTTGACTGCGATGGCAACCCAAGTACAAGAAGGCCAGAGACCACCATTTTAGCAATTCTGCTGCTTTTATCCAAATACCATCATTAATTTTTCAAATGAATGAGAACACTCTCAAATATTTTTCTGACATATATTTTTACTCTTCTCTCCACAGTTCTTTGCCTTTGTGGTTACCTCCTGCTATGCTGGAAATACATATTTTAGCTTTATATCTTGGCGATCAAGAACTTTGCAGTAAAAATTGTGCTAAAATGAATTCTGTAGAATAAAACGTCTTGAGGATTATGCTCTTCTTGATGGAAGCTTGGAACAAGGATTAGATCTTCTGGAACACTTCTGTTGTAATTGAAGAAATGTATTTAAACTTAGATTAAAATGAATATTTATAATATGATACCATATTTAGTGACATCTAACACTGACTTTGTACTGTATAATAAAATTTCATACTGCTTCTTTTAAAATTAACATGGTATTTTTCTAGACGTTGTATAGATGTTATAACTAAACCTTTAATAAACTTCACTCAGACTGTGTGCCAGTTTTGTAAATTTAACTTTTTAAATGTCACCTGTGTACTTTTGATAACGAATGCTACAAATCAAAAGTAAGATTGATATTATATGTATACAAAGTGACCTGGTGAAAAAGAAAAATACCAAAAAGCTTTAAAGAGCAATAAATAATTGACCCAGCTTTGAATGTTTTGTAAACAGGGAGCAGCGGTTTGCTTATTTTGTCTGTTTTTCAGAGGCAGATATGTGCTATTGAGAATTGTGATGGTTGTGTCAGTTTACATATTCCAGTAGCCTATTTTAATTGTGAGTTTGGTTTTGAAACCTATTAACAACATAGACTTACAGCTTGCTGAAGAAGTTGTATGTATGAAGCACATTATCTTAACAGGTTTCTCAAATCTAGCAGATTTGATTGATAATTCTACACAACAGACCTTTAATGCTCAGTGTTTAACCTACAGAGAATATCATAAAATATGTACTAAAGGTAATAATTCTTGCTTCTCTGAGGACTGAGGCTAGTTCGTTAGTTTGTAATACTGAAAATGTAGGCCTCAAAATGCTATCAAATGACATGAAGATTAAATCCATAGAAGAAATGTCAAGACCCTAGCAGTAGAAACAAAGGATTTTCTCACTCATTCACGTTTTGCCAGCCTCATTTGTGAGTTGTTAGTTTAACAAATCAAGTTTTTAATTTGACTCATATTTAAATATCTTTGAGTTATGCAGAAGTATGATGGAAGGTTATGACTTCCAAGACAAATGCCTTTGCAAATGACTTTCAAATACAAATTACCTAAGGAATCTCTTCCAGGAATTATGTAAAGAGCAAGACTGTGATTATTTTGTGATTATTTAAAGTTTTCTGCTAGTAAAAAAGACTGCTGGTAAATCCCTTATTCTTGCACTAAGGGGATTTGGGCTCTTCCAGTCTTCAAAAACTTTGTTGCACTATATATTTGGTAGTAGAGAAATCTCACTGTTGAAAATCTTCTTTGTTTTTCCCTGTGAATAAATGGGGTGTGCTTCCTTATGTGCACACCCTGCAGCTAGGAAGATTTATCAGCAGCCAGCTAATTCTGTTCTCAATCTCCTGGTTTTGTTCTTGATTATCTGTCAGAGTCACAGGATTTCAATACAAGGGAAGCCAAGATATTATTTAAATGCCTATATTTGTCTGCAAATTGCATCTGGCCTGCATAACAAAGGTCAAGCTGTCTCCTGCTTACTAATATCGTCCAGTTCTGAGAATGAAGAAGGGCTACCAACTATGCATTTTATCTACACAGACAAAATGTGTCATTAAAGTTCCATATGCTCTTTTCCATTGCTGGAAAAAAATCAAAGGCAGAAAAATGATACAAATGTCAACTGAGTAAATGTGACAAGGAACAGCCAAAATTAAAATCTCATGAGTGATTTTCCATCTGTGAAAATGCTTGAGAAGTAAGAAAAAATCTTTCTTGAATGATATTTGATGTACATATCTAAGTTCAAAGAACATGGCTGTGTTTGCATAAATGTTTCATGATAACTGTGATGGGCTGGTCTAACATCATAGCCCAAACAACAATTGTGGATAGAGGTACAAAGACAGAGATGGGCTTAGAGAGAGTAATACATTTTATCCATTATACCTTAAACTATTGTGTAAATTGTGTGTTAGAAAACAGCCATTACGTGTTACAGTAAACCCAAGAATGAAAGACAAAAACATACAGTTGTTGGTTAGGGAATTCTTTTGGCAAAATACGTCCTCTCAGCATCTTCAGCCCTAATTGTCAAGGGAAGATGTGCAGAATGTCTCCCAAGGACAAGTCTGGGAATTAAATTTGTAATTCTGCTGGATTTTTAAAAGTACTAGGTGGGAATTTGTTTTATCTTTGGCTTTCTTTGTTTCACAAATCATAACTTAATCTGCTTTGTTCTTAAGAAGGATAGCCATCTTACTTTGTATGCTATTTCTCATCTTATTTCTCATCTCTTCTGCAGCTACCAACTGTTCTTCAAGCAATCTGAATATCTAGTTAAAGTTGGAGGCATCAGTAAGGCTGAGAATTACTTCTGAAGGTTGCTGCTTCTATTTCAGGCCTAATGAAAGGTAAAAGCTTGCAAAAGGTTATCTGATTGTTCCAGGTGCATTAGTCTTAAATACTGACTTGCCAACTATGATCCATGTTTTTGTATGTTCTAATATTGACAAAGAAGATAACGTAGCAGTAGTTTATCATAAAGCAGTATTTGGAAGATTTTTGGCTGTAGACATTTCTTTGTGTTCATAAGATAGGAAGAAGCTTTTTTTGAAAGTACATCTGGGAACCAATGAAATCATTAGCAAAATTCTTAACACAGAGATATTGAGAACAATTGAGGAAAAAAAAAAATATCAGAGAACTTGCAAAATAAAATTATTTGTCATTGTAAATAATGTGTTCCAGACAAACGGTATCTCTAAAAGATCTGAGGCACTCACATAGACATGTGAGGTGCTAGAGAGCAAGGATATTTGCTGTTAACTTTTGGCCATCAAATTTCATTAATTAAAGAGTTGTTGGTGTGTCATCATCATCGTACATTTACCATGTATTTTAGATCGTATCATTTACCATCATACAAGTAAACAGCAGAAGAATTATAATCAAAACTTGAAATTCAGAAGTGTTTTAGACTTGGGTTTGTGCCAGTGGTTTACAGAAGATGGCTGTGTTCTTGAGTGGAAAATACAACTATTCTACGTGCATTAATGTAAAAGCATTTCTATTGCACTGGGTAGAAATGAGAAATTCATGAGAAATTAAGAACTACAGCAGCTGAGTCAGTGGGAAAGAAAAACATATTTCTTAATGGGAAGTACAGAGATAACTAGGACCTTCCTCCATAAGGCTTACAAGAAAACCAGCTTTAAAATCTCAGTGGCTAGCATTTTACTTCTGTGTGATTTGGCAGTGTTGTACATTTGATATCTAATAATAGGAGTTAAAATTTGATGGGAGAGGTACTGCCTTTTATTGCAGATAGTAGGTTTCCTCACTGAAAACAAAGTGCACTGCGTGGTCTTTTGCTAGGTGGGCTGTTGGACTAGATGTTCTTAGGGATCTTTTCCAACCATAACGATTCTATCTGTAAGGTCAACCCATCAGAAGCTTCAGGAAAGAAGGGGACAGGGTCTGTGGTAATAGAACAAGGGGAAGTGGCTTTAAGCTCAAAGAGGGGAGACTTAGGTTAGATGTAAGGAAAACATCTTTTTCGGTGAGGGTGGTGAGGCACTGGAATGGGTTGCCCAGTGACGTGGTGGATGAACCATTCCTGGGGACTTTGAAGGGCAGGCTGGATCCTGCCCCGGGCACCCTGATCTAGCTGTGGTGTCCCTGTTCAGGCAGGGGAGCTGGACTAGGTGATCTCTGAAGGCCCATTCCAACTCCAAGGACTTACGATTCTATGGTTGCTTACACTCGCCTACCCCATCTCACTCACGTCAATTCCTTATGCTGGACGTCATCTGATCTCACCTGTCTACACTTTTACAGCAGCCTTCGTTGTTCAGGGCGATATTCAGTATTAAATATGAATGAAACATGTGTTCTAACTGCAGAACAAAACATGAGAGGATGATGTTTCTGTAGGAGCAACAGATGCTAAGCTCAGGGGCCGTTTTTACCCTCCTGTCAGAAAGCACAACCGCTTATTTTTAACCTTGAGGAAACGTAGAGCTTCCTTTGCCGAACTGTATCTCTGCGTGACTGAATTCCAGCGGCGGAGCCGAGCCGTTCCGGCACCGCTACAACCCCTCTGCTGCCGCCCACTGCAGACAACCTTTTGCCTGTGGGCCGCGGCGGATCGGAAGACGCGCTCTCCTATCTGTGCAAACACGCGCTGCGCGAGGCGACGCCGCGAGCCGCCCCCCAGCTCCGAGCCGTCTCGGCCCAAGAACACTGCCGACAAACTTCTGCCTCCGCTTTCCCGCCACCCCGGGCCCCGCCCCGCCCGCTGCCCCGGGGCACCGCCCGGCCGGCGGGGAAGTACGCCGCTCCGCTCCGCCCGGCCCCTCCGCAGCCGCTGGCCGCCGCCCGTCCTCCTTGCCTTCCCCTCCCTCTTTCCCCGCCCCGCCCCGTCCCGTCCCGTCCCGTACCCCTTCTCCCGGTCCGGGCCGCGGCAGAGCAGCGGAGCGGCAGGACGGAGCCATGTCTCACGGGGCGCGAGTGATCCGCACCGGGGTGAGCAGCGCGGGGCCCGCCGCGCCGCCGTCGGCCGCCGCCTCCTCGTCGGCGGGCTCGGACGCGGAGCTGCTGGACGGCGCCTATTTCCGCTCGTGTGCCGGCATGCTGAAGGTGGCCCAGATGGTACGAAGCCGGTCAGGGGCGGGTGGCCTCGGGACCCTCGGCCCGTCCCGGGGCGCCTCCGGGGCGGCGGGTAACGGCGGTTTTTGCTCTGGAGCTCTCGCAGCTGGCGGGAGGAGGAGGGAGCCGGGTTTCTCTCAGGACGCCGAGTGCGAACTCCCGTCAGAAGCAGCCTCCGCTTTTCGTTCGCTGGTGGAGACAGACGTGTGTCAGCCTGGGGGAACGCTGCTTGTGTGCAGTGCCGCGCTGCGCTGCTGGGACATCGAAGCCAGTGGCGATGTTGAGCGGTGACAACTCTTTGTTGTTAATCGTAATTTTGGCACGGCAGCGTGAAGGCATCGGGTGCTGCACGTCAGCGGTCCGTTAGCTGTGGTAAGTTTTGGGAGAGGAGGCCAAGGGCCGCCTGCGAGGCCGGGGTCGGGGTGAGCGCCTGGGCCAGGAGTGGTGAGGTATCACCTGCAGCAGGAACTGGGGAAACGCTGAGCGTTTGTACTGCAGTTGTCTCTCACTGTGAGTTCAGCTCTGTAGGAGAGCCAGCAGCTGTCTGCTGTGTTCTCTTCTCTTGGGTTGTTCCCAATCCATCGTGAGGATCTGGAGCATCTTTCCAGGAGATAAAAACGATGCTCTTTTGAATGCACGTCTCCATTGCCAGTGACCCTGTGGAAATGTAGCTGTGTGCTTTGCTGACTAACTAGAAGCCTGCTTATCTTTTTGTCTTCGCCACTGTAGAAAGCACAATACCTTTTATGGACTAGAAGGACATGGTCTTCTCTGCTGTCCATTCTGATGTATCTTCACTACACTTCCTACTTGTTACTCTCACAAGCGCGTGTATTTGTGCTGAAGTTTCAATTTTGGTGTGCGTGGAAAGTGTGGAGTGTGTGCTTGACATACTTTACATTCTTTAATGTAACGTATGTAAATATATTTTAATGTATATAAGTGTATGTAATAGTGTAATATTTAACATATTTCATATGAAGTAATATTTTCTGAATGCTGATCAATATCATTAGAATTTCACCTAGTGGTTTTCTGTGCTGATTTGACAAGCTCCCATGAGCCCTCTCCCAACTTTACCCTTTTACATTTTTCTGCATTCCAGCTTGCTTATAAATAACATCAGTAGAAATTACTTCAGCTATCCAAGGAACTTTGGGCAGGTTAAACTTTTCTGATGCGTTATCTTGGTAATGTATTCTTCTCAAACAGTTTTCAAAGAAAACAAAATGTTTGTGCTGCAATATATAGAAATGACCAAGACAAGCTAGTTTTAGGTCAACTCCTCAACATTTATCTAAAATTCATCTTTTCTCAGAGATTATTTTCATTACATCTATGAATCTGCTTTTATTAGCGTGCAATTCTTCTGGTGTTGGCAATATCTGTGTTTGATCAGAATTCTCTGTGATGAAACTGTAAACATTGCTGGATTAATGTTAGTGGGGATGGTGGGACTGCAGGCTTCTTATGAAGGAGAGCCATTATTCAGACAGAGGACAAAGGTAAGTTGTTTTCAGATAGACATACAACGTGCTTCATAGAGTATACCTAGAGGCTTCTGAATGGTTCTGGTTATGAAGAAGGAGCACTCCTTTCTCCTTCTTCCTCAATCCCCTTTGCCAAGAAGTAAATGATACGAGAGAGAACAAGAAGCAAACATTTTTATTTCTTCATTTATAGTAATGCTAACGGCTGTTTGCAAGCCCCAAAATTAGCATAAATAATTTGATTGTGTGCATGAAATTATTCTAATAGATGGCATCAGCATGCCAGGGTAATTGTACCAAGGAAACAGAAGACAATGTCACAGGTTTTCTTCTGTGAGAAGGATCTTAACACAAGCCTTAAAATTCAGCAGTCTCATGCAAGATGAGGAGCTTGTCCAGGAATCTGATCATTACTGACTCCATGTTACCAATTCATTCCCTTTAAATTCTTCTGGGTGATTTGAAAGCTTGTGTTGGCTGTAGCATCTAGTATAGATTGAAATTAGGAATTAAAAACCATGTTTCGTGCCTGTGAGCCTACGTACATTCCTTTATTTTGCATAATTACAGCTCTGAGAAGGTAATGCGTTTTCTGCATTGAGTTCCTGACTTTCAAATATGCAAGGAATGCTCTATATAGGTATTTTGAAAATATAGTGGAGGAGAAAAATAGTTTGTTACTTGTGCACTTTACATAGTAATAAGGCTGTTTGACAGCTGTTTTTCATGTATGACCATCACTAATGTTAATAGGGACTCCATTTTCAAAATCCAGTCTGAATTGATGTGCTTTTAACAAGAAGTTACGACGTATCTTCAGCTTCTGCCTTCAACTGGTCTAGTTTGAATATTGCTCTTCCTTTTGTTCCTTCTTTCATTCTTTTTTGTGCTTGCACTTTTGCCAGTACCTTTTGTACTCCGGGTGTTACATGCAGGATTGTGCTGTGGTTCAGGCTGTGGGAGATTCAGGTTGGACGTTAGGAAACACTACTTCTCTGCAAGGGTGGTCAGGCAAGGGAATGGGCTGCCCAGGGAGGTGGTGGAGTCACTGAGCCTGGAGGCATTCAAGGAACGTTTGGACGTTGTGTTGAGGGATATGGTTAAGTGAGAACTGTTGGTGATGGGTGGATGGTTGGACTGGATGATCTTGTAGTCTTTTCCAACCTTGGTGATTCTGTGATTCTAGAGCAAGTGCAAGGGCGTGTGTCTCTGTGTGCACAGTCCACGTGACTACAAGGGCTACATTTGACATGAAGCCAGCTTGGCGAAATTACTACATGTGGCACTTTTCAGTACACCCCACTGACAGTGCTTTTGAAGCATGTTTGATCTGTGTGGCTTATTTTATTGCAGGACTTTCTGGGTACTCAGAAAGAACTGGGTAGTTTTCAAAAGGTATCAGGAAACCTTTTGAGGTCTCCTGTGCCCTTGGAGACTGTTTGGAGCTGTTGTGTGCAAGAAGAGACATCACAGCACCGTGCTTCTGTAGGTCTCAGACTTCTGATACCATTCCAGGATTGTTCCTTGCTTCTGGATCCTGAGGGGAATGGAGGTGGTCTGTGGCTTCTCTGCCCCTACTTCAAGATGGGCCAAGGTGACTGTGACCAGAGTCCAGACTGAGGGAGGATGTCCCCACAATAAGGCCATTGCTACTGAGCAGACAGCGGTTCTGGCACAGCAAGCACAGCCATAGTATACAGTGTTTTAACCTAAGGATCATCTTGTTCAATCTGAATCAGGAAAGAGCAGTTTCACCAGACACAAGAAGAAGAAATCTTCTCAAAGCAGGGAAAAATAGAATAAATCCAATGGAAGTTGACTTAATAGCATCGTTTTTAACTCGTTAAAGTTGCTAAGGCAATAGTTAAAGTCTGCTGAATAAATATTTCATTTCCCAAGTGTCGACAAAAGCAGTTGCAATTCTTGATATCTGAACAGCCCACCAGGCAGCCTCTGAGCAGCAATGAAGTTTGCTGAAATTCTTTGGATTATTATATACAAACATACAGTTGAATAATGGTGTTCAAGGGAATATTAATACATCTCATGCAGAAAGCCAAAAAAACATTGGTAGCTAGATTGTTAGAGCCAAGATCAACTTCTAAATGTGCGGGATGGTATCAGCCAAACTTCCTGGGGAGCTGCATTTGGAAGATGTTAAAATATGAGAAGAAAGCAAGATCTGTTGGTGGAAGATAAAAACTCCTAGTCAAAACCATTGATTTAGAAAAAGGAAATGCACAAAAGCAAATGCTGTTGGAATAGCTCTCCAATCGCTCCAGTCTTTTAACTTGAGCCCCAAACTTCTTTTGTCTATGGAATTGATTGAAGTAAATGATCTAGTTCTTTGCAGCAGTGTGTTACTGATGTATGACTTTGCTTGTGTGGTAATAAGACTGTTTAGTCAGGAGATATGTGCAGAGATGCTGAAATTGTAAACTTTTATCCTACCTAGACTGTACTTTCAACTTTCTCCAGCAATTACTCTGTCCGTAGTTCTTCCAAAGGAAAACAGTGGTCAGAAGTAACAAGCTTGGCTGAAAGTTGCCAGATGCTGACCTGCCAAGCTTACACTCAAACAGGTCTGTGTTCTCCTTGTCTCTTCATCCCAGCTGATAAGAGAAGACAGGAAAAATGCTGCTGTTCTAGCTAACAGTGATATCCTGATGTATCCTGTACGCAAAAAGTCTTATTGGAGGCATTTGCTGAAGTAGTGGATAAAGTAATAGAGGAGGAAATGTGTGAGTGTCCTCAGCCTGCAACTGTGTGACAAATGACTGGCTAAAGAATAAGGAATTGAATTTATTTTTTAATTTTAGCAGCAAAGTTGTTATTCTCAGGCCCAGGTCAGACACATGTATTGTAGGTGCCCATTGCTGTTCGGCTAGATGTTGCAGTGAAGGGACCTCGCTTGGCGTGCTGGCCAAAGAGATAGAAGTTTGTCTATGTCGTGGGTGGCTCAAAAGTAAGCAAGAGCGTTTGAGTGAGGAATGCCCAAGCCTTGTAATTAAAACCCATAGGTCTGGGAAGTCCTGTTATTTACACTCTGAGATCACCGCAACAGGCTGGCTTGGCCAGGCGTACTTTTTCCATTCCTCTGCTCAGGGTGGCCATACAATTTCTGCCCAGGTATTTGCATATGAGCTGGGAGCAGACAGCACGTTCCCTGGGTGCTAAGTAATGCTTGGTGGTAGGCTGACATGGTTTTATTTGATGGGTCAAAACTTCAGAGGCAATGGCAGTGGAAGGAATTTTCTCTGTGCTGCCATTCTCAGCTGCAGTGATGCAGCTGTTTGCAAGATTGTGCAATATGCCAAATGAGGGAACTGATGTAGCTTTACTTCAACTCTCCTTCACTTTTCTTCTTCCATAAGAGATTTGAGGGAATGGTGCAGCCACAGAGACTATTGTCAGGAGCAGCCAGAGTCTGGGATAGAATGGCAGGAGCTGCAGAAGGATGAATTGGTTCCACATGCTTCAAGTCACAAGCTAAGATTTCAGTCCTTTTCTGTT